AGACCCCCCCCCGCAGCAGCTTGAAGAGCATACAGCCCAGCGAGAACCAGTCGGCGCTGCTGTCGTACGCCACCCCTTTCTGCAGTACCTCGGGGGCCATGTACCCGTGGGTGCCCCTGGGGGGGCACAGAGCGGGGTGAGGTGCCGTGCCAGGCAAGGCAGGCAGGGCGGGCAGGGGCGCGGGCACACTCACACGCTGGCGTGGGGCTTCTTTTTGGAGAAGTCACAGGCCAGGCCCAGATCTGAGATGCGGACGTGCCCAAACTCATCCAGAAGGATGTTTGCCGGCTGCAAGACACCGTGCCACCCCTGAGCCCAAGCGCTGCCTGTGGGCACTGGGGGGGAGGGCAGCAAGGCTGGGGGTGCCCACATGGCTCAGGTTGGGGTGTTCTGTGGGATTTGGGGGTGTCCGTGGGACTGGGAGTCTGTGAGTGACCCCTGAGGTCTCAGGGTGCCAATGGAGTTTAGGGGGTTTCCTGCAGGATCACGGGTGCCCATGGGACCTTAAGGTGCCCTCTGGGTTCGGGGAGTCTCCATGGGGTCTGAGGGCTCCTGCAGGGTCTGTGGGTGCCCACAGGGTGCTGGGGGTGGTTTCTACAGGGTGTGAGGATACCAATGGGGCCTCTGGACACCTGCAGGGTCTGAGGGTGCCCCTAGGGGTGTGGGTGCCCCTGGGATTGGTCACCTTGAGATCACGGTACACCACGAAGCGGCTGTGCATGTGCTCCAGGCCCAGGATGATCTCAGCAGCGTAGAACCTCATCTCTGCCTCCGAGAAGACACCGTGCTGAGACAGGTGGTAATGCAGGTCTCCCCCTGTGGCAACACGGACCAGTTGTCACCCTGGCATTGCCCTCTGCGCCCTGGGGACAGTGCGGGCAGGGGGCTTTGAGCCCAGCCACAGGGTCCCTCGGGGCCTCTCACCATTCATGAGGTCGAGGATGAAGCTGAGCTTGTCGGGCGTGTGGAAGGCGTAGGACATGCAGACGATGAACGGGCAGTCCTGGCAGGAGAGACGGGGTCACGCAGTGCCCTGGGGACACCCTCCCTCGCTGTCCCTGTCCCCTTGCCTGTGCCACAGCCTGTCACCACAGTGCCAGCCCTGCATGGTGGCTTGTCCCCTCACCCCGGTGCTGACGAGAGACAGCATGATGCGCTCGTTGAGGGCCAGGGTCTCGCCCTGCTTCATCTTGATGCGTTTCTTGTCCAAACACTTCATGGCGTACCTGGGGGGCAAAGAATCCCCGTGAGGTCCCGCTGCTGTCCGTGGCCTCGGTGCCACAGCCTGCCTGTGCCTGCCACCACCACGTCCCCACCAAACACAGCCATCACGTCCCTCCACTGCCAGCACCCACGGCCACATCACCGCATCCAGCTACCACCCACGGCCATGACGTCCCTGTATCCCTCAGAGACCCGTAGCCATGGCAATCCTTCTGCAACCCCCTAACATCTGTCGTCATGGCAACACCACCAAAGATGCCCCCGGGACCACCACCACAGCCCCAGTGCCCCCCTCCATAGCAGCCAGATCCCTCTGGCCCCCCATGACGGAGCATCCCTCATTACATTTTGCC